AATGACGACGAAAAACTACCTCAGTTATACGTGATCAGAAAACGTCATGGTCGAGTGTCAGTGATTGCTTCTCACGTTTCTGCTCTTGCCGATCGCTCGTCGTCGTTGGAGTACACTTATAAAACCCATCGCTTAAGAGACAATAAGGTACGTAGAGTAAATTCCCGTTGCATAGCCAATCAAGTACTACAGCGACGGCGTGATGAAAAAAAAAGCCGCTACACTCAACACAATTTGTCAAGCACAGAGCATATATATGTTGATGGATACACGTAAATACTGATATTTTTAGCAACACGGTAGTGTGAACCACGTGATACAAGCCACACAGCTCTGGGTGCACAACCGCCAATCAAGCTCTATATGTCATGCTAGGTAGTCCCAGCATTCAATGTTCGCTTTGTTATACGCAATACATTATATCCCAGTCAACTAAACTAGGGGGTACGTATAGTTGTTTCAAAAAAAAAAGAAGAAATGAATCTCGAAGCTAAACAGTTGTATCCATTTTCACGTCTTAGGGCTGTTAAAAGCATGTTATTTTGTTATAAAATAAGGTATAAAATGTTCGCTCTGCTATATAATTCGACAGAAATCGGCTGAGAAATGTATTCCATTATCGCAAAATCGAGGCTTCGGGGTTCGGATAAAAAAGAAAGTTGGATAACGAACCAGTACTTATAGTTAGCTTGTTAAAAATTCGAATCAACTAGAGATTCGTGGAGCAAAAAAACGCGAGAAATTGAAACAGGAGTAATTCGGAATATTGCGGATTGAGTTCGCTCTCTGTACCGGTATAAGACGAGAAATACGGATGACTGGTGTATGTTAGCTCGAATTAAATGCGCACAACGTAGCGAGTTACAAAAACGTGTCATGTTAAAGTAGGGATTAATCAACACATTAGCACACTCGTGCAAGTATGTATATTTACGTCACTACTCTCAAATTCAGTAAATTGAATGAATCAGATTAGTACAACTGATTTATAAGGTTGAAACAGACACGACTGATAAGTATCTCATCAATCGATAACGAAATCACTTTGAAGTGAAGCGTTAGCGTATATGCCCCCCTCATCATCGGCGCAATCTGTGTTTATGAGGCGTGAACACACATACTGTCTCTTGGCAAATATCAGTTTTTATGAACAGACATCGTTTTATTATACTTTCAAATCGTCGGGAACTCCCTTTCATTGGTGGCAAGACGCCAAACAAGACGTCCTGATCTGACGTTCACTTCTGAATCGTCAAGCTACGATCTGAATCGCCGATTTATTCACTAAAACAGCCACTAGGTGGCTAATTGGGCGGTGGATACTTCGTGCACATTGACTTAAACTATAATGTTTCGATACAATTGACCGTATCAGGGAGCTAAAATGTCTGTTACAGTACAATTGCACAATTCACAGTGCCACTATTTACATTACATTACAAAAACATGTATTACAGTGCTACTATTTACATTACATTACAAAAACATGTATCACAGTGATACTATTTACATTACATTACAAAAACATGTATTACAGTGCTACTATTTACATTATATTACAAAAACATGTATCACAGTGCTACTAATTACATTACATTACAAAAACATGTATCACAGTGCTACTATTTACATTACATTACAAAAACATGTATTACAGTGCTACTATTTACATTACATTACAAAAACATGTATCACAGTGCTACTATTTACATTACATTACAAAAACATGTATTACAGTGCTACTATTTACATTGCATTACAAAAACATGTATCACAGTGCTACTATTTACATTACATTACAAAAACATGTATTACAGTGCTACTATTTACATTACATTACAAAAACATGTATCACAGTGCTACTATTTACATTACATTACAAAAACATGTATCACAGTGCTACTAGTTTCTTCACGAATCCATTGACCGTATATAACTGTGATATATTAGTAGATAATATTTGGTAATCGTTGTTCTAAGTAACTATTAAATATAGTTAGACGTTTCGAGAAGTAAGAAGTAAGTACACGTTTTAATGTATAGGTAGAACATAAAAACGTAAGAACCCGCACAAAAACTTTAAAATGGAATAGAACATGTTCATTGCAATTGCGCGTGCTAGTATGTACGTTGCAATACAACTAGACGTACCAGATTACTACTATATGTCCGTTACAAGACAAATGCACGCGCCATCACGTTAGTGAGTCACTTATAATACAATTACACGCATAACAGAGCTACTTATGTCAATGACAAGACAATTACGCGTATAACAGTGATACTATATCCGTCACAGGACAATTACACGTACCTCAATGCTACCAAACGCGCACCACAGTGCTAGTTCGTTCATTACAAGACAATTACACGTACCACAGTGCTAGTGCGTCCGTTACAAGACAATTACACGTTCCACAGTGATAGTACGTCCGTCGAAGTTCCCTAGCACACGCCATCGTACTAACATCTCCGTTTTACATATACCGATTCTGCGTTGCCTATTATTAATTGTAATCTGTCAAATCTTAATCATTAAACCATTACACATTTTGTTCGCCCATGGGTAATGCCATACAATAAAATACCCATCGATCCCTACGGCAATACTTGCTTTTACACAACAAATCGCATGTATATATAGAACATGTTAATGTCTTGCCCGTTTAAGCGAAGTAATAGAAAATATTTCTTCTTTTCAATACTGTTGGGAACTTTATTTAGCACTTTGCAACAAAGAACTCAATAATGTTCGAATCGGCGTAAAATTCAAAGAAATTACAAATCCAAACCATCAATCAGTGAGAGGGGCTTTGTGATAGACGGTGATCATGATTTCCATTGAAAACATCTCCTAGTATACGGAAATACTGCAATGATTTTCTATTTGAAAAACACGGATTAATTTATATTCAACACATCAAGGCTCTCATGACTCTCCAATTACTATCTATTCATTTGAACCCTCTCTTATAAATTTTTCATTCCGGCTTTCTTATCACGGGTAACTGAAAAAAAAAAACACGAAAACGATTCTTTTATACGTTCACCACTTCAGCTCACACACTAACGCCGAAATGGAACTTTAGATTCGTTATAAATTTAATAACCATGCAGTTTCCTTTCAAATTGTAGGGGATATTAGTTGAGCATAGTATTGCTTCAACTGCCGGGTTACGTGGATGGGTAACCTAGTAACCAGTGTTTCAGAATCAGAGATGTACGAAGTCGTTTAACATTTAAAACTGTAATCATGATGACACGATGGAATAAGATTATTCTCACTGTGCTGTATTCAGAAACGATTGGCATTCTTCATCGCGTTAATTGTACAATTTCGATATTGATGTTATTTGGTAACATTTAAAATGCGGCCAACTTTTATCTGGAAACAGGCGATTTTGTTCTCTCTAATCTGTAAAATCTATGAAAACTATTAGGTGGCAATTGGAAGATCTTGCCGGATTTGATTGAATTATACCAAAAAACGCGGTATCATGAATAGTCGTTTGTTACACAGTAAACCCCGCATTCAATTTCATTCCAATAGTAGACTTTCTAGAGATCCCACGTCACGTGCATGGCATTGTTATATGTATACGACGGAGATTACAACGTCTAAGCAGCTTGGATGCACGGAGGTGTTTCGCTAACGGGTCGTGTGGGTTGTTCGATATATATCTCTACATCGTTTGTGTTTATCTCACATATGGACTTAAGCTACTGTCATTTCGAGCATTAAAAAGTGAATTATTCAGAGCGAAGCGGAAATCAAAGAATATTGCTACGAGCGGGATTCATGGGAGGGATTTTCAGTTTGTTGTGTTTACGCTTCATGCAGCCAAAGATTCGAGACATGAACACCAAGGTGAAAAACAACATGAATATAAATGAATGTATTTCTCATCGGAAGATTCCATCGAGGCATTGAACTGTTGAGATACTCGATGTAATGACAATGTTTTTTGTTTTTTTTTAATCTGTGAAACATCCCCAATGAATAGAAATTACACGATTATGCAGTTAACTGATTGAATTGGACATTTAATAGTGTTTTATTACCGAGCAATGGTTTCAATTTTGTGTTGGCGTATATTTAATTGTACTTCTTCGACCGATATTGGACATAGGAGCGCGATCGTCAGACATGAATGAATGAATTATTTGAATGAATTTACTTTGCCGTGTTACAGGCTCGATCAGTGCCAGAGATGAATCCACGTAAATGTCAAGTATAATCAGAGCGTACATAAAGACGTGATATAAGCATCTCAACGAATCCACCAGGGACGATTAAGTTGTTACTCTATCATCTGTTTATTTTAACATCACATAATGTAGAAAACGAGTTTCCTATCACATTTATTGAATGTGTCAGTTATTACATGTATTCGGTACTTTTGCTAAAACAACCTGACACCCGCCCGATTCAACG